TTTAATTTTTTTGGTGTTTTGGTGGCTTTTTTGGGTTTTTTTCTGGTTTTTTTGGACGCCCCCTTCCCCCCTCTCCCCATCCCCCCCCCGTGACCCCAAAATGACCCCCCAAAATCCAACCGGTGACCTTTGACCCCGCTGTCACCTCCCGGCCACCCCTGGGGTGACATCGGGCGTGTCCCCAAATTTTGGGGGGTGGGGTCCCCAGGGATGTCCCCAAATTTGGGGGTGTCCCCAAAGGTGTCCCTATGATGTCCCCAAAATGTCCCAAAATTTCCCCAAATGTCCCCAAAATGTCCCCAATGTCCTCAATATCCTCAATGTCCCAAAATTTCCCCAAATGTCCTCAAAATGTCCCCAAATCTCCCCAAAATCTCCCCAAAATGTCCCCAAAAACTCCCCAATGTCCCCAAATGTCCCCAAAATGTCCCAAAATGTCCCAAATATCCCCAAAATGTCCCAAATGTCCTCAAAATGTCCCCAAATCTCCCCAAAATCTCCCCAAACTGTCCCCAAATGTCCCCCATGTCCCCAATGTCCCCAAAATCTCCTCAAAATGTCCCCAAAATGTCCCAAAAATGTCACGAAAATGTCCCAAATGTCCCCAATGTACCAAATGTCCCCAAAATGTCCCAAAATGTCCCCAAAATGTCCCAAATGTCCCCAATGTTCCCAATGTCCCCAATGTCCCAAATGTCCCCAAAATGTCCCGAAATATCCCCAATCCCCTGGATGTCCCCGATGTCCCCAAAATGTCCTGAAATGTCCCCAAAATGACCCCAAATGTCCCCAAAATGTCCTGAAATGTCCCCAAAATGTTCCCAAAGTGTCCCCAATGTCCCAAATGTCTCCAAAATGTCCCCAAAATGTCCCCGATGTCCTCAATGTCCCCAATCCCACCAATCCCACCAATGTCACCTCGGTGTCCCCAATGTCCCCAGTGTCCCCAAAATGACCCCAAATGTCCCCAAAATGTTCCCAAAGTGTCCCCAATGTCCCAAATTTCTCCAAAATGTCTCCAATGTCCCCAATGTCCCCAATGCCACCAATGTCGCCAATGTCACCTTGGTGTCCCCTCGGTGTCCCCAGACATCCGTGACAGCGGCAAGAAGCCGGTGATGCTGTTCCTGCCCCGGTGTCCCCATGGTGTCCCCTCAATGTCCCCAACGTCCCTGATGTCCCTGATGTCCCCAATCCCACCAATGTCCCCAATCCCACCAATGTCCCCAATCCCCCCAATGTCCCCAATGTCCCCAATGTCCCAGTGTCCCCAATGTCCCCAATGCCACCAATGTCCCCAATGTCCCCAATGTCCCCAATGTCCCCAATGCCACCAATGTCCCCAATGTCCCCTCGGTGTCCCCAGACATCCGTGACAGCGGCAAGAAGCCGGTGATGCTGTTCCTGCACGGCGGCTCCTACATGGAGGGCACCGGGAACATGTTCGACGGCAGCGTCCTGGCGGCCTACGGCAACGTCATCGTGGTCACCATGAACTACCGGCTGGGCGTGCTGGGTGAGGACATTGGGGACATTGGGGACATTGGGGACATTGGGGACGTTGGGGACATTGGGGACGTTGGGGACATTGGGGGGATTGGGGACACTGGGGACATTGGGGACATTGGGGACATTGGGGACATTGGGGACATTGGGGACATTGGGACATTGGGGACATTGGGGGATCGGGGACATTGGGGACATTGGGGGGATTTGGGACATCGGGGACGTTGGGGACCCGGCAACGTCATCGTGGTCACCATGAACTACCGGCTGGGCGTGCTGGGTGAGGACATTGGGGACATCTCTGGGGACGTTGGGGACATTGGGGACACTGGGGACATTGGGGACGTTGGGGGGACTGGGGACATTGGGGACATTGGGGACGTTGGGGGGACATTGGGGACATTGGGAACGTTGGGGACATTGTGTGTCCTGGACGTGTCCCCAGCTGTCCCCTGGGTGTCCCAAATGTCCCCAAATGTCCCCAAAATGTCCCAAGATCTCCAAAATGTCCCCAAATGTCCCCAAAATGTCCCCAAAATGTCCCCAAAAATGTCCCCAAAATGTCCCAAATGTCCCCTGGGTGTCTCCTGGGTGTCCCCTGGGTGTCCCCAAATGTCCCCAGAATGTCCCCTGGGTGTCTCCTGAGTGTCCCCAAAATGTCCCCAACATCCCTGAGGTGTCCCCTGGGTGTCCCCAGCTGTTCGTTGAGTGTCCCCAAATGTCCCCTGGGTGTCCCAAATGTCTCCAAAATGTCCCCAAATGTCTCCAAAATGTCCCCTGGGTGTCCCAAATGTCTCCAAAATGTCCCCAAAATGTCCCCAAAATGTCCCAAGATCTCCAAAATGTCCCCAAATGTCCCCAAAATCTCCCCAATGTCCCAAAATGTCCCCAGAGATGTCCCCAGAAATGTCCCCAAATGTCCCCAAAAATGTCTCCAAAATGTCCCCTGGGTGTCCCAAATGTCTCCAAAATGTCCCCAAATGTCCCCAAATGTCTCCAAAATGTCCCCTGGGTGTCCCAAATGTCCCCAAATGTCCCCAAAATGTCCCCAAATGTCTCCCAAATGTCCCCTGGGTGTCCCAAAATGTCCCCAACGTCCCCGGGGTGTCCCCAGGCTTCCTGAGCACGGGGGACCAGGCGGCCAAGGGCAACTACGGGCTGCTGGACCAGATCCAGG